AACCTCTGACACATGTTGTGGCAAACCGTAAATGTGACTTTTCATGGCTTTCTTGTTTCTTCGTTACCACTTTTCAGTTATCAATTATTAAACTACAAGCCACACTTTTTTGAAATACTTATAAAAGGTCAAAACGATACACTCCAGTGTTATTTGACGTTTAAGATTGGTCAGTGAAATATAGTCCAAGTAACGTACACTAAAATTTACAAATGTCAAAAAGTTCAAGAGAAATTCACACTTCTGCACGACTGTTGTTTCTATGCTAAAAGTTGTGCAGTGTGTAGATCTGCATGGGCTCATGTGCGCTAACGCTCCAGTGATTGTGCAACGCTTGCAGGTTGCCTCTGAGGCCACCGTAGAAGCTTTTGTGAAGAAAATTGCCGTATTTCAGACCTGTGAATGCAGCAGAAGTTTATCTCCCCGAGAGAGCGTAGGAGACTCTTCTCCAAATCCATGGATTCCCTGTCCCTCAGTGGCAGGAGGTCACAGAGCTCCACGCTCTCAGGAGAGAGCGAGAGGAAGACAGAGCAAGACAGATGGAGACACTAAGAGGAGAGAAGAGGAAAATTCTTCCTCACCTCGGGCCACAGGGACAAATTACACCAGAAAAGCAGTGTCACTTTATACCACGCGGCTCAAAGTAACAATCAAGACACAAACTAATCTCTGAGCTCTTGCTGTTTTCTTTTGCTTTGTTTTTCTTTGCAATCCTATTGTCAGGTTGTATTTCGCACACATCAAGCATCAATACATTTAATAACATAATTTTATTTTATTAAATCAGAAATCTATGCTCGCCGATCCACAAACAGTCACTGAGTGAATTGTTGAGTAATGCCCTTAAAGCTCAGAAATGTAAGGGAGAGCAGTGAAGGAAGTGAGATAAAAACATCTCCTGTGAACCTCCAGGACCCCGTGTTCCTCAGACTAAATTTATTACAGCAAAGGGGCTCGGTGGTTTGTGCCTGCAGGCTGTGCAGTATTTTTAAACCATCACGTTTTGCTTATTTTTTAATTTTTTTTCTTGCTTTTGCGTTATTTTACTCAGTAGTCTAAACATTACATACACAAAATGCACACTAATCCACGTGTGAAAATGATGTCTCATGCTCCCTGAACCACTCTTTCCCGATTTGAGCCTGATCTTGGAATATGCGCATGCCATCAGAAGAGAAAAAGAAAAAAAAACTAATTGGTGGATTAACCTGGTCATTCAGTATTCTAGCACTCAGCTGATCTCATAACGTTGCTGAAGCTGGACCTGACCAACTGCAATCACAGTGCTGCCCCACAGACGGCTACAGTCGATGGATGCATCGCTTCTTCTGCCTCCGTTCTGCATCCATCACTCTGGAAGAGGGTAAATCTGGACGCATCAGACCACATGACCTTCTTAATTTAAGCCACTTCTGCAGTCTTTTTAGATATGTTCTCTGCTTGCAGCATGCCGATGATTTCGTGGTTCCTAAACAGACAAATAACTTTTGCACAACACCTGAATGTGTAGTTTGACAAAAGAAATGAGGGGCGACTCGTTGCATCTATTGGGGTTAAATAACTTGTTGCCAGCATTATCTGTCTGACATTTGAATGATTTTTTATTTTTTTTTTGCTGAAGGTTTTCTGCAAAAAAATTAAAAAAAATAAAGGTGTCAAGATATGCAAAGAAAAAGGAAGACATAGCAGACCTGACAGGATTTTACAAGATGTCTATTTAAGGGAAGTTTCTTTTTTTCTCTCTCTCTCTTTTTAATGACAGCTTCAGTTTGGCTATAAGCAGAGCCGGATAATAAAACGGAGCCGTTCAGAGACAGCTTGAAACAATGCAGAGAACGCGGTGAGTGAAAGGTATGGATGAGTTTGACTTCTCATAAACATCTGGACGTATGTAGGACCACATTGTTTACAGTGTGGCTTTATGGAGGACCGTCCCAGGATGTGTCTGTTTCACGCCAAGTGTGTTTGGTGGGGTCAACACAGGTGCAAGACCACGCAACCAACGCACTCACAAGTAAGGCTTCAAATTCCACGTTAAGCTCTTTGACTTTTAAACCTTGTAAAAGTTACTTTACATCAAATACGTGAGGTAGGAGTAAGGAGAATTAGTACAGTTTTAAAACCCATAAAGTTATGTTAAGTACGATTGTGTGTCAGTTAAATCATTTTTTCAGTGTATATGAGAAGGGACTCTAGAGGAAAACTTTGACAAGGACACCAGTCCTCTCCATAATCCCAAATGAGTCAATGAAAGCTGGTTAAATGATAAGTATGACTTTATCTGTTACATCGCTAATTATTTTCTGTTTCTGTCCTTGTTAAAGAAGAAAAAAGAAGAAAAAAAAGTGCAATGTGCCATTTGACATGTCAGAATATCTAACAAATGGTGATTTGAAATGCTATTTCAGGATGCTAACGAACTGCAATGTCTTTCCGTTGAGTTGCTGCGGCTTCGGGCGCGTGGAGTGCTCAGTGTTTAAACAGGAACAGAGCAAAGCGACATCTGTGTTTGGATCTCACGGCGCTCGCTGGGGTTGCTGTCAGTGTTGCGTATTTGAAGAAGAGTTTTCTTGGACTACAGAGCAAAAGTCTAATGATGTTAAAGAACGTGTTTCAAACTCAAGGCTCTGGAGCCAAATCTGAACCACCTTAGTGAATTATTATTTCATTCTTAGAAGAACTCATATGAAGAGAGATATTTATCCAAATTTGAACAGTTTGATAATATAAAAAGTTTTATCAATATATTCTGCAACACACAGCCCTTTGAGGAGATTAACAATATTAATATGGCCAAAAATGCCATGTGAACCCATTGGCCATCAGTTATGAAATTACAATATTTGCATACTGTTTTCGATCAATAAGTAAGAAAATCTTACAATTTTCTTATGTTGTAGTCAGTTTTTGTTAGCGAGGTTTAACGTCGTCTCCCTCATCAGTTTAAAGATGGCATAAGTGGAACACCAAAGACACAAAAAGATCAGTTTTGTTCTTCTTGTATTGCAGAGATTGATTACATTTTTTCCTAGGTACATATATAAGCAGTTCTGGTTGCAAGTTTGGAGCCCAAAACCTTACTAAGCCATTACTTTTTTTTTTTCTTCTCTTACTCCTCACACGTCTGCGAGTCATTTCATGTGACGTGTGCCACTGATCTGAAAACGCTGCTGAAGGGGATGATTTGCATATTAAATGGAACCTCCTAGCATGTAAATGAAGAACTCCCTACAGAGCAATTCAGTAAAAAGCCTTCAGTTTAACCCCAACACAGCAGCGCGTTCTGATAAGCGCAAAATGAAAAGATCATATGTTTCTACAGTTTCAGCTTCTCTTCATTCAAGACAGCAGCCGTTTGTTCTTTTGCGTATAAAGCTCTTAATGACCACGCTCCATCTTTTCTTAAAGTGCCTCTTACTCATAAACTACAGGTTTATTGTTGAAAATGTCCATTTTCGATAATGCTTATAGTTAGAACTGACTCCAATTATCGATGTTGGTTATGCTGCCATAGTCATAGAATGGTGAACAATACCAAGCTCTATACCTTTACTTCTTGTCTACTATTGCCTTCAGTGTTTATGTTTCTTCTCTGTCTGAAAGCTGCTTTCATGCATTTCATAAAACTGCCACAACATGGGGCAGCCTAACATGAGATAGGTAATTAATCAGAAACAACCAATCAGAGCCAGGAGGCGGGGTCTCAATGATGTGAATTATTTGCACAAAGGTAAATGACAGTGCTAAGACCCTCCTGCTGGCTCTGATTGGTCATTTCTGACCAGGAGTTGTGCATTTAGCAGTAGGACCACCAAGGAGAGAGAGGAGCCTGATTTTTTTCACAGTGTCTGTCTCATAATGTTCTGTGACAATATAGTGGCAGTTTTATTAAATGTGTAAAAAATACATATATATATATATATATATATATATATATATATATATATATATATTTTATAAGTGTTATTATATACTGTAGCTTTAAAAGTTACCGTTTGGTCGCTCTGAAACGGAATTGACTAAAAGATCAGGTAAAACTCTGCTGGTTTAAATTATTATAATTTTCTTAACAGTGGATTCTACTGAACATGACTAGTATCTGAATAAAATTACAATTTTATATTAGCCTGAATATGACAGTACTAGACTAAGAATCAGAAACGGTTTCGTAATGTTCCATTAGCTCAGTTTTGCAAGCGCAACATGAATAAAACTCAACTAAATCATTGAGTGGAACAGAAGAAAAATACTCTACGTGTAATAAATACTACATCTCAGCATGTGTGAGTATGCACAGTTTGTTCAAGGTGGGATCCACATGCTGCTAACATTTCCTATTTCGAGAGCATCTGTGGGCTTTGTTCCTTCTGAGTGTGTTTGTGTGCTTTTGTGGAAGTGTGGAGCAACTCTGCAGCCACTTGTCTGGTTTCGCTCCAGTACCCATCATCCACTGACGGGCACAGGCGGGGACAAGCACAATTAGACTGCACCGGCACAGACACACAGAGTGCATTAATCCCAAACCAACCAGTTTAGAGCATATTTATTTCAAGGATCAAAAATATGACAATATACAGTACAAGATTTTGGTCAGTATGTCTCTCATACAAGTCAAAAATACAGTATTTCAGATACAATAGTTGTATAAGAATGATAAAACTTTCTCTTGGCCAAATTTTATAGTTTGTCTGATTTTATAAATCCAGAAAAAAAAAAAAAGACAAACAACAAGAGCAATCAGCAGCTCCCACACGTAACATTACTACATGAAGAGACTTTTGAGTTTTACTTTCTTGTCTAAAATAAAGGACATTTGTGTAGGTGAAACAAATTCATTTACTGCAGGTAGGAAGATGTTACAGAGTTAATCAGGATAGAAAATATTAAAATTTTCCAAATTACTAATTGCAACTCATTGCAGACGTCAGTTGTTGGAACTTAAGATGCTTTACTGCTCAGGCAGTTACTAAAATGGCATGAAACAGCATGGGAAGCGTTTCATCCGAACTTTTAAAAAGTTGCAGCAGAGTGCACAAAAAAAAAAAAAAAAAAAAGTGAGCTACAACTGAGCTGCGCTGAAAAGATTGGAAAAATGGTGCACAGGTTCAAAATTTATGTCAAGAAAGTGCTGAACCTCAGTTTGCACTGCTCTGTTAGATTGCTTTTGTTGGGTTGTGGCGCGGCTGAAAATGCAAATCAGGCAGAAGATGAAGATGAAAATCAGGGAGACTTCTGTTTTTTGTAAACAGCACACAACCTGCGTCACGGCACAAATAACGCAGGCACACTGAAAGAGAGGAGACGACTGAGACTGGACTGAGAAGTGAAACATAAACAGAAAAAAAGTTTATTTCTGTAGAGATTCTTTCCATAATGCAGTCAGATTCTTTAAGCAGCTGACACATGAAATAATAATGGATTCTTCACTTTGCACCCAGTTTATAGTAAATGTCGCAATGTCTTCATTTGGAGATAAAGTTATAAAAAAAAAAGACAGGATACCTAACAGACTGTGTGTTTTCCGAACATATTTGGACAAACAGATATTTGATATCTGTAACAAATCAGGTGGAAATGTTTAAAACATTTTAAGGTCCGGCCATTTTGAACCAAGTTTTTTGTCTTCTACAGACTGTTGAAGAGCACAGGGTATAAGTGGAGGAGATTCAAAGTAATTTCCAACATGCTGAGGTCTGGTTATCTAAGCAAGTTCATCCTGGAAGCAGACGGTAAATCTTCAAAACCCCTGAAATGTCAGCATGGGACCTGCAGCAAGACTTTGCTGCTGTTTATATGAAATTGTATGTCTCTACAATCAGAAAGAAACTCCAACTTCGGTGGGATATGAGCGAGGAAGAAAGAAAACATGTCGGCCAAACTAAAGTTAGTATAAACATTTTCCTAAGCTAGAAAACATATTCTTGATATTTTATTTCATGAGTAAAACGGGTGATTGTACTCAGGTAATTTGCAAAGGGTAATATTTGGTGTTCATCAGGAATAATCTAAGTTGCTTTCTTACATGATTAAACATAAATATGTGGCCATAAAAAAAAAAATTACAATTGCACAATTATTGGGATGTGCACTCATGCAGATGTAAGCAGCTGAAATGATTTACCTTTATATGCTCAGTGTATTGGAAAAAAAAATGTCTGATTTGCTTCTCATGAGCAATTTAAAGAAAGTGCGTGAAATCAAGAAAGATGTTTCCCATTGTCATAAACTGTAGGAAATGCTGCTATAATGGTAAAGAAGTATCAATGGAAAAAGGTTGAAACTTGTGCCTTGTTGAAAGTGTTAGATAAATATTATTACACCTGACCCAGGGAGATTAATGTCTCATTTTGATTTACCTGAAGCAGCAGGGTGCTCATTCAGACGTGACGTTCCCGTGTTCAGTCACCCTCAGATTATTGGAAAAGTGGTGCGAGTCTGTTAGGGTTTTTTTTTTTTTTTAATTTAATGACAATCTGAGCGCATCAGATGCAAATATGACAAATATTGTTTTTCTTTGCATGAACGTCTCGTGCTACAACAGTGCAGATTTTAGTTGATGCAAGTCAAATTGTTGTGTCTTCATAAAGGTTTACCAACACAAAAATGTATCCTGTTTGCTGTTAGTTAATAGTCAATGATTTTTATATCTTTTTTTAAAATTGTGAACGGACAATAAATCTGAAAAATATGATCATTTCTTCAAGCTGCTTAGGCACCGCATGCCAGTATTATTTTTTTTATATGGTGAAGTCTAAGTTATTACTCTGCAAAACTAAACAACTACTTGGAATAATACAAAAAAAAAGAAGCTAAAATTCAGTTGTTGCCTACAGACTGTTACTGCTCATGTCTCAACACTGTGCAGCAGAGTCTCAGGGGACAGGAAAAAAATAGACCAGAAAATGACTCCATGCAGCTTCAGTAAAAGAATCTCACCTTTATAGCCAAATCAATGCATGTGAAAATAAATTCCCACATTGCAAGATTTTCTCATCTCCCAAATGCACTGCTTCACCTTAAAAAAAAAAAAAAAAAAATCGACTCCTGGATTTTTACAGCTGAAAACACGACTCTGTTGACGTGTTTTGACATTTCGGGTAATTTTCTGAAAGTGGGTCATGTAAATTTCAGGAAACGCAGAAGAGAAAAGTAAGTATTGAACACGCCAACATTTTTCTCAGTAACTATATTTTCAAGCGGCTTACTTACATCAAGTAATATCAGATGTTGATAAGAAACCAAAACAATGTGGAAAGGAAACAAAACTGAATCAACAAGCAAAGAAAGTGTTTGTATTTAGAAAGTAATCACTTCTCCTGTCAGTGCTAATTGATATTAGCTATTCTAAAGCTCTGAAGAGATGTCTCGTCACCAAGGCATCACATGAAGCAAAGATCTCTCCAACCTTGGTGTTGCAAAACATGCTTATGTAACTGGTTGTAGATGTATTGTTAAAACTTTCAAATAAAAAAAAAAAACAGGAGGAGAATAATTTCATCATAAATCATCCATAACTGGTGGCTCTTTTAAAAATTTCTGGCAGATGAGTGAAAAGAAAAATCAAGACCCAAGGACAACTCACAGAGAGTTGCTATGCGTCGTCGCTGTGCACATTCACTGCACAAGACGCCAATGCTGAAGGAACAGCATGGCGGCATTTACAGTTTGCAGCAGAACATTTGGCCAACTCAAAGAAATAGTGGAAGAATATAGAGTGGCCATAAGAGCCCAAAATCTGACTGAATATAATTGAACAAACCCTGATTGGAGGAGGACTGACACTGCTCATATCAGCAGAGAAGTCAGGCTCTTTGGAGTGTGGGGCCGTTTTTCAGCATATAGTAGGAGGGTATTTGCCTACATCTTATAAATGAATCCAGAACAAATATAGAAACATACCACAACATTTTGGATAAGAATCTGAACATAAAACAACAATGGATTTTCTTTTTTTTTTTTTAGCAAGACAATCCCAAACACACAAAAAGAGTTAAAGAAATTCTTAGTTGGTTTCAGAGAAAAAAACAAAACAAAAAAAAAAAACACAAAGCTGCAGGAATCAACAAACTGACAAAAGGTTTATCTGATAATCTATGTAGGCAGTTGAAGATCAGAATGCATGGAAGAAAATCAAAGAACCTTTGAGGTTTAAAAGACAGGTTTGTTTTCATTTTACTTTGGATTACTTTGGTTGCTATTTACAATGTGAACTTCAGGCCAATAGTAGAAAAACATCTACTGTGAAAAATGTTGACGTTCAATTCCTATTTTCCAGGCTATATAAGGGATACACATTTTCTTTTTATTGTCTTCGTTTATATTTTCGAAATGTCTGCAGCTCAGTTGAAATAACCATAACATCTTTTCATGCTGACTTAGTGCATCACTCAATTATCTGGTTGTGTTTGGGACATTCCGTTCATTTCTAAGAGACACAAAAACAACATCTTACTCGTCAAACCGTTTCCGTATAGAGTTGAACATCAGTGCAATGAATACATTTTCCTGCCTTCGACTCGTATCAGAGGTTGTGCATTGTGGATTGGAACTGCATTAATTAGACAGCCTTGTGTATAAAGGTGTGTGCATTATCTCAGCCAGCGTCAGCACTTCAGCTGACCAATTAAAAATATGGTACATAGCAGGCATCTCTGCTGTGAGTAGCACTAGCAGTTTCTCCTCATCCTCTTGCCGTTCCAGTGTCTTCCCTTCGCTGGGTTTCCCCTCTCTCCTCCAAATTGGTGATAAGCTGATGCACTGATATCTTCTGGCAGTGGGTGTGGGGCCCTCATTGCTGCGCTGCATCGTTGTTGATCCCCATGGTGTCTCTTCATATCCTCCTCACACTTGTCTTCTCCTTCTTACTCCGTCTCTATCTTTCCCTCTAATTAGAATTGAGCTGTCAACACAAAGTCCTTCCGATTGAGTTTACTTTCCTAACCTCACGCTCGGTTGCAGGTGCAATAGTCTTCTACTGTTCTTCTCTAATTGGTCATTTTGCATCCAAAGCACTTGGGTTTTTTTTTTATTTTTTATCTAAAGCTAGCTCATTTTTTAACTCGGCACAGTTTTGATATTTTAAGCTGCTAACTACTCACCGTTCATCCTGTCCATTCACATAAACATCCTGCCTCTCTGTTGTCTCTCGTCTTCCCACCGAGGTCGTGAACTACCTGGCCCGAATCTGCTTTCTACACCAACCTTCCCCTCCTCCCTCCTTCCCCTGTTGTGCAAGGCCTGTCAGTGTCTCATGGTGTTTTTGCCAAACTTGTCGCCGAGTTGCTGGATGAGCAGAGCCAGCTCCCCAGCGGCCTGGGACTTCTCCTCCAGCAGCTCATAGCGGAGGCTGGAAATGTCTTGCTTGATCTCCTTCAGCTCGCCTGCATCACAGACATAGAAAAGACAGAACGAAGTGAGCAAACAGCAATCAGGACGGGAACAAATCCAGGCATGAACTGGGGTCAGCGTGTAAAGTCTAAATGGACACGACCCTTTGAGGGTCTGGATGATTTTGTAAGAAATATTTTATTTCCAGATGTGGACACATTCATTGGCCCCATTAAGAAATATGTGTAAAAAGCCTTGAAATAACTTTATTGTTTAATGCAGTACCATCATTTTGAAAAAAAAAAATTGGATCAATTTGAATACCTTTAGTTTCAGGGGAAACAATATTCATTTATTTTTCATCCCCTTTTTTGCCAATATGACAGTGCCTAGTTTTATCCTACATCCACCTGAATGTTAGTGTAGCACCACTCTGAGATCGCAAACTGTCCTCACGAGGCACGTTGAGAAATTGATAAATAATCCTGAAGCCAGTCCTGCATTTCTTGGACAGATAAGGTTCAGCTTGGTGTTTCATTGAACCCTAAAGTCTTTGAAATTGTGAAGAGATTGGAGAAGCTTTTTTGTTCCTCTAAGATTTTGAATATATTTCTTGCAACTCTGTCTTGACAACACTCCCAAAACTGTTGGAGAAAAAAAGCCTTAGCAGAATGCTTTTGTCATCACCGGGTTTCACCGAGGAAACCTAGACTGGCAATCATCGTCCAGTACTGTAGAAATGTTAGCGAGCAGTTGGTGCCTTGTGATGATTTCCTTTATGGACTCAATCCCAATTTTTCAATTTTTATTGTGTCAGATTGGTAGATTATGTTCTTTATGGTCTTTGAATCGTTCATATGCTTTTCACTAAAACACCGATGGTGCTTCTTCCATTAGATTCGTACATCTGACCAATTCATGCTTTGTTTCTACTTGCATCAGCAAACATCTGCTGATACATTAAGACCGTCTCAAGTTTAGACGTAGGAAGGTGTTAAATAAACTTTTTTGTAACATAGAGTTACATTCTTATGCTTGAAATGCTCTAGTACAGAATTATTGGTTTCACTTTCAGTTTGTCTTTTTACACCTAATACAATCGTTACTCAAGAAGACGAAACAAAAGAGCAGTGTCAGTAAAGACAAATGAATGTGAACTCCTGGGATGAAGATTTCTATTAAGATTTTTTTCTATAAAGAGAAGGAAGGGAGAACATTTTATAACTAGAAGTCAGTAGTTTGGAGACCAGAACTCTACCAGTTCAAACCCAAAGGAAAACCAATGTGGTGGAGGAGATGTGCGTCTTAATGTAAGGAAAATTTGTGAAATTACTAAATATTGCAGTGAAGATAACCTCCTGGTTTTGTCATCACAGTGTACCCATGAGCTACGGATAACGCACAACATTGCTTAAAAGCTTTCTTTTGCATTTGCGACACTGCACATGTCGTTACAGTGATGACAGTTTGACAGTTAAAAGAAACTCATTCATGAGAATGTTCATATTTTCACGAAATTTAAGGATAAATTTCATTTTGGTGAGAAAATAAAAAGCAACATAGTTAAAACTGAAAACTAAAAATAAACAGCATTCCTTGGAGCGAATGGCTGCTGTAAAGACGACCCCGTTCAGGTTACGTTTTCACTCAGCGATCAAAAGCTGTCCTGCGTATCTACGTTTGATGATGCAAAGATAAGACTAGGTCAACGACCAGGTGAGATGTGGCGATAAGATACAGAGTGAAGAGACAACAGTACAATTCGTCCAAGTCGACTCCACTTTATGATCCTCCCTCCTCCAACTAATCTCAGAAATATGTTGCCCAGCAGAGTCTGTTGTAGACAATAAAATCCTGAACTTGGTGCTGAAATAATGCTGTAGTTGGAGCACAAACGGCAACCAATCGTATCATGGTCTTTTGAATCTCTTAAGTCAGATTCCTTGTTTAAGAGGCTCTCGTGCTAAAATATTGTTTTTTATGTTAATGTTATTAGCTTACATGTTTTATACCACAAAATGTATGATGACGTGTGTTTTATTTTTTTATTTTTTTATGGCTTTCCAACAAGTTCAAATAAACCTCAAGTAGTGGTTATTCAAACCCAGGCAGGAAATGCCAAACACAAGGAGAAAATGGCTTGGATATCAGTGAGTTATAAAACTCAGTCTGTTGTGTTAAATGGATTAGCTAAGTACTCCAATAAACATTTTTATTTATGATTACATGCAGCCTGCTACAGAAAAAAAAACAAAACAAAACAAAATAAAAAAAAAACCCAGACTGAACTCAAGGATGTGCAGATGTACATAGAAACTCACAGATCAATTCCTGCACACTTTTCCACACTCATACCATTATGAGCCTCATAATGGTGCAAGTGAAGTGTGCCGTATTGAAAAAGCGATTCTTACCCTCATTCACTTCGTCGCTTTCTTTGTCCACTTGAGCTTTCAGCACGTAACGTTTAATAAGCCGCTTCATGATCTTCTGCAGCGAGGAAAGAGAAAGGTGAAGATTAAAGACAAAAAGACGCAGCAGTGGGAGGTGACAACGGATTCTGCGTTTACGAGGACAGAAGACTCGTCGCATTCTCGAGACAGAAAGAAAACAGTGCTAATTGTGGTACAGAGTTTCACTCGGTCTCTCTCAGACAGTGTGTGGAATATTGAGTATTGATTTGTGACCAGTTGCTGCTGCTGAGCCTGAGGCAGTCAGTCTGTGAATGTAGGCACTCCGGATACGGGTCGATAGCCGCCACCGTCCAAACAAGAGCGCTTACATATGTCTAATCAGGTGACAATTCACTGCTGTGTGTGTATAGCTGTTGGTGTGTGTGCAATGGATATCCTTAAAAATGTAGTTTGAGTTGATGCACAGAGTGTCTTGATCTCAATTACTCTCAAAGATCTCAGAGGAATTTTCAGCCATGTTCATTCTTTACTCTCCGTCTTTTTACAACTTCCCTTCCATTTCAAACTTGTTAGATTCCTTTGTTACTGTCGTTTGGTTTTGTCTCACTTACACCTCCTCACCTCTACCGCACCTCGTCTTTCCTTCCTTCCTCTGATCCTGCCGTCAGCGTCCATCCGGCCAACCTCAATCTGTGCGCCTGCAGTTCTTTGATTTCTCCCTGCTACATATTCCTCTGCCTGTTTGTCTCACATTTCATTCTTCCTCCAGACTCAATCTAATTTCCAATTCCCTTCCGTCTCATCTTCACTCCACCCTAAACTTTGTCATCTGCTTTCAGCTCTGTCAATCTCTTACCTGATATCTGGTCGGGTGTTTTCGGGCTTTTCTCTGGATGAACTCCTCTCCCGATCGTGCGTAAGACCTAAACCGCTCATCCTGCAACAGCAAGGAGCAGAGACACTTCAGAATAACTGAAGTACTTGCGAAAGATGTTGAAGAAGGCAGCAAACTAAAAACTAAACAAATAACGCTGCTTTATCTGAAATCAACTCATGTTTTACCTGCTAGATAATTTGACTTGGGTTTGCGGCTTGTGTGTTAGTTTCACATTGGAGTGCAAGAAAGACTTTCACCTCTAGTGTGGACAGACAAAATCATCTGGAAGCATTAAATCCGCAGCGCATTAAAAATCTACTAATATAAGATCTGATAGATACGAAAATGTCAAAAAGCAAGAAAGGAAATGTAACACAAAGATGAATTTACAAACTTATATTAAAAACATTTACCCATTCTTCAGATTAACAATCAAGAAAAAAAATGCACTTCTGAAGCTGTAATTATAACCTACATGTAACTTTATTTTCCCTTTCAACCAAAACCACATCACAAGAGAGCAGAATACAATCCTTAAAGAATTAAATGGGTTGCTATGTAAATATTTTCAATGTTTAGTCCTTAAAAAATGGAATGAGAAATATAATATGACAGATGGTTGAAGCAGTATGTCTGTATGTCTGAAAACATTTAAACAAATGAACCACCTGGGTTCTGGTCGCAGATTTCTATCCATTCATCATCGGCTGCGTATCGTTAATTCTGACCTTCTTAAAATGTATCAACCATTTCAAGGGGAAGACAGATAATATAACATGATCTCATTCACTTGGGATTATTTTTTCTGATCCACACATCTTCCAAATTCTACATTAATCTCAACTAACGTGACTTTTCAAGTTGCAGAGAAGACAAAGGCATGTAGCCATCAACAAGGTCCTGGCATATTTCCAGATGTTTTTTTTTTCCTTCTTCTTCTTCCATCATACGTTCTCTCATCCTGCCACCTAATTTTTATTTATGGCTGCAGAGATCCAACCCTCTTGTATTTCAAAGTTTGCCTTGCCTGTCACTAACCTGCACTGTTTCTGTGCACCTTTGGAAAAACCCTGGCACCGTCTTTGAGTTCCCACCTGTGTGATCTCGGTACTCTCTGGTCTCAAGCCAGACATCACCATTACATGTCTGCCTGCCTTGAGCTTAACTTTATGAGAAGAACTGCTGGACTGACTTATCTGCATCTGTCACCCATTTCACTGTTGGGCTGCCAAAAAAAAAAAAAAACAAGGGAGAGAGGAAAAAGTCCATAGCTACCTGTCCACCCTCAGTCTGCCACGCCACTCACCAAGCCACAAAGGAAACAATGACAACTGTACCGACCACCTACTCTGTTTTATTGTCTCTGCTGCCATCCGGAGATCTCTTGTCAACTCTCCAACGGCAAGGCTTCATCAGCAAGAAAGTAAGATCAATAAATAAATACTTTTATAAAAAGTCTCACTTCAGTGTCACAAATTCTTTTTTCTTCCCAGAGTTCGTTCATTTTTTAACTTTAACTCTATGTTCTTGTGATTTTCTGTATTTGGATCAAAATTCGGAGACAAAACATGAGATTTAAAATCTTACGCCGACTCATTCAAACATACTTCTGGTTCCTTCATTCATTACCTCCTCTGATAATGTTTTTCCAACAGTAATTCGGCTGGCCCATGTAGGCAGCAACAAATTTCAGAAGGTGCTGATTTTATAGAAAGCGTGTCTTTCTTGGCCCGGCGCCCATTCACTCCCTGTTTATGTTAAACAGAAACTGAGAGGTGCAGTGACACAGGCTTAGTTACCTGGGACAAATAAAGCCCATCCAGTTAAATGAGCTCAACTATTTCTGCCAACAGCAGCCAAAATGTCAGTAAAAGCGTTTGGTTTCTCTGCACCTTTATCCACACATTATGAGAACTTGTAGATTAGTGACACTCCCAGGAGACTAGATGTTGCTAAAAATCTAAGTTGACTGTTTAAGAACTTTGCCACCCTGGAAAAAGAACAGTTCAAATAAATAATTACAATCCATTTTGATAATTTTATTAGCCTAAAAAAAAAAAAAAAGTGTCTAAAATTCAGGCAGAGACAGAAAAGGTTTTGTGCTACTTTACAAAAGTGTTTATGAAGAGTATATTATTTATTAACTGGAGGAACTATTTTCTTTTTATTTTTAAGAGAAGCATTTCTGCAGAGGAACAGAAGCCAGTGGCTCAGCTATCTGTCTTATTTATCTATTCACCACATTACTGCAGCTATACCCAGATGAGACTGAGATTTCCAGTTTTATGTGAATGGTGCTGAGAAGGCATCTTCTATGCAGAAGTCTCCCCAAGGCCAAATGGCAATGTTTAAATATATTTCCTGTAGTTCTTAGTCAACATTAAAAGCTTGATTTGCTGGGCTCTCCTGCCTCTGTTTATGTGAATCCTGGACTTTAAGATTCACATAAAGTCCAGGCTGGGAATTTACCAGCCAAATACCAGCACAATAAAATAACATCAAATCATTGACTTTCACTTTAATTTCACACATAATTTTAAAGCAATCAGTTGGCACAGCTGGCTTTGCTAAAACATTTTTTTTAGTTTGATGCCTGTTTGCATCCTTATATCATAATTAAAGCACCAAAAGAGAGAAGAAATGAATCGGTGGTTCAGACAGACCACCCCATCACTCCCAAATCTTGCTTGACATCGTCAACGCTTTCCTGTGGGCTAATGTGGGCTTATCCATTGATCGCCTCCTGCACCTTCCTGCCTCTGCCTTGGTTAAACTGTCAGGTCTGCAGAAGGTTTTAGACACTCACAGAGGCAGCAGGGTGAAGCCTATCTTGTCCCTATCCGAAATCTGCCCGGGCATTTCAGCAGACGCAGGCAGAAGCAATGGGCTGACTAATAGCTCCGGTGAGGAGAGCCATTCAAGCCGAGGAGGCCGGCGGAGGAAATGCCTGCGGATGATGGCTTGTGCGCTACGTTTGACGCCTTGTTAAATGTTCTCTGGTGTTTCCAATTAAAAAATAAAACTTTCTTTTTATTATAGAGATCTGATTTAGAGGGACGCTCCACTTAAATCTGTAATGTTTCCTAAATATACAGATTATACTTTCAAAAACAACCAACCAACACAGACAGATGTCTAATTATAGAAGGAAAACGATGATGATTTTTTTGTTGTTGTTTGTGCAACTATCATTCTCCCTCAGTATAATTATGGCAGTTATATGGAGCAAGACTGGAAATCAGAAAACCTTAATTTGACAGGAAGTATTTAGTACAGTAAATGCACAAATTAGTCTATAATTAGAGAGTCACTGCAGCAGGTTTTGTTCAACTAGAGAATACAATGGAGATTTAACTTTCTGAAAATGGTATTGAAAGAGAAGGTAACGGAATAAGCTGCTTTTAAATTAATAATATCCTGCTACATTAATTCAGGAGGCAGAAATAAAATGACTTTAGATGAAAGATGCAGAATAAAACATTGCTGGAGGGATTGCAAACCTCATTTTGTATGAAAAACCTATTAAAAAAGTACTTAAAGAATTTGAACCTTTTCATATTTTGCCAAGTTACAACCATAAACTTAAACGAGTTGCTTTTAAAACTTGTAATATGAGATGGATCAACTCCAGGAAACACACAGATGGGAACTGATAAAAGGCTTTTGAAAATAGTCAAGATATATACAGCAATATAAAGGACATCAAGATAAATAAAACAAATAAAGATCTGTAAAATGTGGCATGTGTGATCTAGGAAGCTGTTAAGAGTAAATTGAAAGGTAAACTTTGATAAATGCAAAAGGCTTTTCCTTCAGCAGCAAAATGACATTAAACATGCAGCCAGTCCTACAATGGAATGATTTAAATAAAAGGACATTCAAGCAGTCAAAGTTCAGAGCTAAATTCTGCAGGGAATCTGTATTATGGCTTGAAAGAAAAAAAAAACAAAACAAAACAAAAAAAAAACTCTGCATCCAATCTGATGGAGCAAGAGCTACTTTGCAAAACAATGGGCACACGTTCCAGTCTCTAGATGTGCAAAGCTGTTACACACAAAGCCCAAAAGACATGCAGCTGGGCTTTCTGCAAAACGCACTTCTACTTCAAAGTGTTTTCAAATATTCATTTCTAAAAATACAACAAAGAAAACCACATATAATTTTGTTCTGCTCGAGTATTATGTCACACCTTGTAAGGGTTTATTCTGTAAAATCCTGATAAAAAAATAGAAGTTTCTGGTCAAACGTGACAAAATATGTAAAAGTTCTATTGGTGCGCCATGTACAGTTTTGCAAAACACTGTCAGTAGAAAATGCCAAATTTTGACCTTGGCCTGTGTGTGGAGCATGCCCATCTCCACCTCATTGTTGCGGCGGCGGCCGTTGGCCTTGCACAGGAGTATCAGGCACGACTTGATGCGGAGGACCAGGTAGTAGAAGGATTTGGGGCTGGGAACCAAATTGAACGGGGCAGGCAGAGTCCGACCCTCATCAAAGTAGGACAGCCACAGCTTGGCGCGGGCAAACTTCCACTCCACGTCTGAATCCTCCTGCGGGGACAAGCAAACAGAGACGCAGGGTGAGTCTGCTGATGGATGATGACAGGAGAGACAGGAATAACAAATAGCTATGACTTGCTTGAGCACTTTGACTTCTAGAGGACAGTTCTACGACGGCAGACAGCCCAACATCTGCCTGTTTGACAACAAGTCTGTGTGCTTTATATCTTTGGGGGGAAAAAAATTTAAAAATTGTGGAATTTTTTCTGACGGAGACTGATGTTGTTTGATTGATTTTCAATAGCTGATGGCATTTTTTTTAAGTCGCAGTCTAATCCTCTTGTAGACACATCGCTGATACCAGATGATCCTTATTGACTTGTTGACAACATCCTGCCCTTTTTTTCTATCGAGCTGCTGCTGCATACCTCTATCTCCTGGTACGAGCTGTTGATCATGGCAATGAGCATGTTGAGGAGAACCACCACCATGGTGACGTTATAGACTCCGTAAAGCACGTAGCCGATGTTCTCTATGAACTTATGGTCGTATTTCAGCACCACAGAGATCACCTCAGACAGCCCGAAGATGGACCAGAACAGAGTCTTGAAGCTCTCCTCCACCCTGAGGGAAGAGAGAGACGGGGGAGGAAGAAGGGGGGTGGGGATCAGTGCATAAAAGGGTGCAGGTGTGGGTAAACACCGGTAGGCGCTAGTTGCTGAGTCACACACATGAAGACAGACAATATGGGATCTAATGCTGTTTGATTTGTGTGGCAGGAGTGATGAGTCATGTCCAATTTGAACACACAACCCCGTCTCTGCCTCTGCTGCACACAGAGTGCTGCAACTGCGCACACATGAAAAAGCAGACAATGACTCAGCTGCAGCATTTAGGAGACAATTAACTTCTCAAATTAAGTTAATTAAGTTTTAACCCTTTGCCAAACTTTATGGAAAGCAGACACCTTACGTTAATGGAGGCATATTAAAAGTTTGTCCAGGATTAAAATTTGTAAGAAGTTTGCATACAATATGGTTGAGAATATACACTTTTTAATTTAGGACTTTTAATACTTTAATTAGACCATTTATTTATTTTTCTGGATGGAATAATTATGCAACAAACAACCTTCATTAATTTTTTTTGCCAAAAGAATTGGATGCACATCTGGTAGATACTTATCGCTACTCCACAAATACTCCAAATTACACATGCAGGCTCAAATATATAGATAATTAACACATGTGGCTCAGGAGCATTTTGCACCTGAACCACAAAGCTTTTCGCAGTTGTCCGTACATTTGTGACACGGTTCTGGCTCAGATTCACGTCACGTTGAGTCCAACATTCAACCATCTGACTCACATAGTCACTCAAATGAATGCAAGTGGTTTGACGGATCAGAAGCAGTCTAGAAATCACCAAGGCTCAAGCCCATCATAATCAGGGCTCTGCTGGAACACCAACAGTGTCTGCAGATAAATGAGCCCTCCATTTAAAAAAGCATCCACTTCAAATTTGACACATTAAAGTTCAACTGAGAAAAGCTTTCTGTTCGGGTGAGACAGCGAGACTTAGCTTAGCCACTGGATGGTTCCTGTTTTGTAAGCAAAAGGTAGTTAGAGGCAGAGTACAGCATGCACTCCATAGTGAGCATCTCTGCTCAGTTTTATCATTGGCTCTTGATTATTTCACATAAGTTCTTGGTCAATAACATATTTTCCATCAAATAGGATTCAAAGTGAGGGTTGCAAACTTAGAAACTTTGAGACAGCTGTGAAGCCTGGTGATGGCAGCATCTTCACGTGGGGCTGAGTTGCTATCGGTGGTGCTGTTATGTTTTACAAAGAGGATAGATTAATAAAGAAGCAGTCCATCCTGTACATTTTTGTTTTACCTTCAAATGAAATTAACAGCTAGATATTTGGGAATTTTAAAAAAGACTTTTACACCAAACATGCATCAAAGCTGGTTTTGAAATAGATAAAGTTGGTTAACTTTAAATATTTGGAAAGCTTTGACCTCAATTATAGTGAAAATTTGTGGCCCATGCTGAAAACTAGGTTGGTATTTAGACATGAATTCAAATGTACGGCTCTACTTGTTTTTGTTTCATTCATTGAAGATGATCATCATCCCTCCCTGTAAAATAACAGGTCAAATCCACAACTATATACTGAAAACATAACATTCATAGTCAAGAAAAATGTATATGAACAAATGACACCCTTCTGATTTTAACAAATAGGACACAAACTGACCCAGTTTGTGTCCTATTTAAAAAAAAAATCATGTTTGTCAAAATTACTTTTTTCAGTTGAATGAATTGTGACTGAATTTTCTATCCCTGTGGATGAAATACAGGCAGTCCTCTATTTGGCTTTTCCTCTGTTATTCCAGTGTGCTAAATAAAGTGTTTAATAAGTAAAAGGGCATATCTGACGTTTCCGAGTTCCACAGTTAAACGTCCAGTTGTGTTTCTGAGCCTGAAGGTTGAAAAGAGAAAAACCAGCAACGAGGCACAGCAGCAAAAGGCTGCATGACCTGTGAGCACCGGTTTTTCATGTACATCTGTGCGGTGAAATATTCCATGAGAGGCAAGCACGGGGCTTGAGATGACAGAGGGGAGGCAGGGTGGGAGGAATGAGCGGGCTGGTTGAACCGCTGGAGGGCCTCGAGGTAAGAGAGCGCCGTGGAAAGGGAAGATGTGTAGGTTGTGGAACTGCGAGCGTCTTCCAAAAAAACTTCATCCACTGGCACACAAAAAAAGGCTAGGTGTTGGCACAGAGGAAAAACCATCATCTCACATGCATGAAAGGAGTCTGTCAGACAGGAACATGCGCAATCGTCAACTTCCCCCATGTTTCTCTTTCTCACTCTTGAAAACAGAAAATCCTCTGGGTGCCTCACCTTTTATACCATAGAAGAAGAAGATGGGGGGAAAAAATCCTTTATTCTTCTATGCAGCTAGAGTAACTTTGTTACTCATCTGCAGAAAATTTAGAAATATGCTCTCCCATTGAACCACATATCTTCCAAAACACTGTGATTTTGGGCAAAGTATTTATAATTAGCCTGTTCAGCATAATTTAATTTCTATAATGTTCTCTAAACGTTGGCATGCCGTCATTGCTCTTTGTGATTCTCATGAATTTGCTGAAAAAGCATAATTAATGACTGCGCAAAGAAAGCTTTGAGATAATAACCGGATGCGTCATGTCTTCAAAAGAAACGGCTTTTCATTTTCACTCAAACCTCTGTGCACAGAGGCTTCTGCTGAGCAATAAAAAAATTGGGATGGATGCAAGGAAGGTTTGCAGAGGAATATTTCTTTGTGCCATTGCTCTCCCCTCAAATTGCCAGTTTTTCGCAGACTGCTGCTGTTGCTGTTGGAGACGGACTATAACCGTGATTATGGCTATTTCCACGAGATGCCATTGCTGTAATTGAGGCCATGGCTGTGCTTTAGTTGTAATGACTGCTCTGTCATGTCAGTGGCACATTAGTTGTAATGGCTGCAACACGGATGACATGCAGGGGTTATATGTGTGTGCCAGCGAGTTGACATCAAGAGAGCGTTAAAGAGTAATTGCAGAAGAGAAATGACAAATGCAACAGAAATAAATGTTAAATAAAAGTTGAATCATTACCTGGAGTCCGATTTTCACTGCACAAATCTGGAATATTACCGTTTTGCTATTGGAGAGAGTGTGGAGTGGTCATTTTTTTGGTTAGAACAGTTCAGCTGAAACAAATGACGTATGACATCAGCAGACCACTTAACTAAAATTACAACTAATGATGTGGGAGATTTTAATGTGCCTCACAAGCCTTTTCACGATAAATTAACTTTTCTATGTTGCGGCATTACATCCACAACGCAGAGATATTCTGTTTTAATTTTACCAAGCAAAATGCAACGCATCATTTTAAAGCCGAGAAAAGCAATACACGTTTTTTTCAAACTTATTTACATGAGTAGGGAACAGAGTCCACCTTTGTGTACCTGAATCCTTGAGAACATTAGTGAACAAACAGCATGGAGAATAAAAAAACAAATCAGACAGCTACAGGGTGAAGCCGTGAAAAGGATAGAATACAAAACGACTCCCCGAGCTTTGAAGATCTCAGAGGACACTTGTCTAAAAATACTGTGGCACGACAATACCAAGACATGGACGCCCACCTGAAAACAGATTCTCTGGAGGAGCTGCTAAGCTCCACAGCTCAGGTGGTAAAACGACAGGACATGCAGTCCACATCTTAATGGAAGAGTGGCAAAAAGCCACGCCAAGCTTAACAGACGCTATACGTTTAAAGCAAAACAAACAAGAGGAACACCACATTTTTAAGCTTTTTTATTTGTTAATGAATAATCTAATTACTTAATTATTGAATAAAAAAAAAACATGTACCAATGTGATTAAAAATTAAAACCCTGTACTGTGGAAAACTGGGCATGTCCAACAAGGGACTAATTTATTATTGCCAGATAAATCTTCAATGCTAACATTTATCTGTGAAAGCACTTCTAGTCAGTCTCTTCTTCAATCTCTTACATGTTATTTTGTTGGCATATTTAGCTGACACTGAACATCTACAATGTAGTTCAGTACAGATTGAATCAAGTGAATGACTGGTACTTTAAAGACTTTGACCACCAGTAGTGATGCTTTGATCAAGAACTACATCCTCAGCATTAAACACAGTTTTTGTTGCAAAAGCAGAAAGAGAAGACATCTCTAGGAGTCTTCCTCACGTAGAAATTTATGCAGTTATGGCATTCTAGCTTGTAGGGAACAAATGTAATTTTGCAGTTCATACAATGATTAATTGCATGAACTCTTTTTAAAAGAAACAAAAGCCATAATGGTATTGGTTGGCACCAGATTGGTGCGGTTAAAAAGGAAGAAGTCCTTCAAAGAGATTACCCAGACATGTATTGGTTCTATGCAATATTCATAAAAAAACATAACTTAATAAGGGATTAAACAGTTGCCATCTCCACATCAGATTGCTGTACAATCATCTAATTAAATCTCGTGCACTGTGAAGGTGTCCAACGACAAAGAACTTTCACAAACCACCGTGTTTGGGTTTTAAGTGGCTCACTAGCAGCGACTAGGGAGCAAGGCTGTTTCCATCAGTACTTCCCCTCCAGCACTATTAAAATAATGAAATCCAAAAGGCTTTGGTGCAATCAGAGGAGCTAAAGAAGGTGATTTTGGAGGGCACGCTGTGAAGACCAGTGACTGAGACGCTCTTACAAGATAAAACAAAATGTGACTTTTGAATCAATCCCAAAAAGGGGGACACTTTTCTGCTCTTGATTATGTTATCTCCCATTTATCTTTCTAATCTAATATTTTTTTTTTTTTAAATCAGTCTCAAGGTCCTACTTCCCAGCCTGTGAAACTCTTGCCCAATATAGAGGAGTTTTCCTAAAATGTAAGAGGAGATAATTATAGACAACTTTGTTTCAGCCAACGATAAAGTGATGTGAAGCAGACATTTGCAGGAACAAACACAATTAAAATTCCACACTCACCAAAAGGCAAGTCTATAAATAGTCATTGCTCATCTGCTGGGGCAGATTGTTAGTTTGATAGGAGGAGACTTGC